GCCGCTCTAGAGGTGAAATATCTTTATTGTTATTTTTTTTCTATCAAGTTTTTTTTTCTCTCTCTCAGATTATCGGAAAAAAAAAAATCAGCATTTACCTTCATGACCTAGTACCAAAAGCCCACCTTTGAGTGTTAAACACGAGTGTCCCTGAGTGAAATTTTTGTGAGAAATGTGGAGAGGCCCCTTGATAACAAAATGTCACATAATGGAGAAGGAGTACCACCAGTACCATATCTTAATACAACCATTCTTCAAGCAATTCAAGGTACGATGGAAATGATGATGGAAGATAGACAAGAAAGAAGGGCGCAACAACAAAGACAAGAACGAACATTAGAAGAAGATGAAGATATAGTAGTGCAAGAAAGACGTGTTGAAGGAAGATGGAGAGGAAGAAATAACCATGCAACTATTATGCAACCTAGAAGGATGGAAAGCGTACATGAAGATAGAGATGGAGGAGTTAAACTCAAAATCCCACCATTTTGTGGAACGGCAGATTTTGAGGCATACTTGCAATGGGAAAGAAAGATAAAGCATGTGTTTGATTGCAACACCCATAGTGAAAATAAGAAGATGAGACTTGTTATTGCGGAATTTACCAATCATGTCGGTGATTGGTACCAACATCTCAAATCCGAGAGAAGAAGAAAAGAGGAGGATCCAGTAGAGACTTGGGAAGAACTTAAAGAAGCCATGAGAAAAAGGTATGTTCCAAAACATTATGAAAGAAATTTAAAAACTAAATTGCAAAGTTTGAGGCAAGGAACAAAAAGTGTGGCAGAATATTATCAAGAGATGGAGACTATGATGGAAAGAGTAAATGTTAGAGAAGAAGAAGAAGATACCATGTCTAGATTTCTTGGAGGTTTGAATCGAGAAATTGCTCATCTTGTTGACAGAAATCCACCACCATATCTGGAAGACATGTATCATTATGCTCTCAAAATTGAAGACCAATTGAAGGAAGAAAAAGAGCATTAAAAAAGGTACACATCACGAACTAACACCTTTTCAAATTCTAAAACTTGGAACAAGGATAGTTTTGTGAATAGAAATGAATCAATGTCACCAAAAGAAAAGTTTGTGGCTACTAAAAGAGTGGAGGCTGAGAGTTCCAATGGAAAAAAGAATGAAGCTTCAAAGATGGTAAGGAGAAGTCTAGTTCTATTCAATGTTGGAAGCGCAAAGGGTTTGGACACAAGAGCAAAGAGTGTGTTAATAAAAAAAGTTATGGTGATAAGGAATGGTATCTTGATTCAGATGATGAATGTGAGGATCATTATTCACAGCTTGTGGAAGAAATCGCAGCATATGATGATGAGTATGCTGAAGAAGGTAATTCCATATCTTTTATCACAAGAAGGGTACTCAATGTTCAAATCAAGGAAGAGAAATTTGAAGATCAAAGAGAAAACTTGTTCCACACAAGATGTTTGATCAAAGAAAACCCATGCAACTTGGTGATTGATAGTGGAAGTTGCACAAATGTGGTAAGCAGCTTCCTTGTAAAAAGAGTTCAACTTTCTGTCCATCTCCAACCAAAACCATACAAACTTCATTGGTTAACAAACAAAGAAGAAATTAAGGTGAACTCCCAAGCTCTTATTTCTTTTACTCTTGGAAGATATAAAGATGAAGTTCTTTGTGATGTCGTACCAATGCATGCGGGGGACATCTTATTCGGCCGACCTTGGCAATATGATAGAAAGGTAACATTTGATGGTTTGATGAACAAGTATACTTTTACTTTGTGTGGGAAGAAATTTACTTTACTTTCATTGTCTCCATATGAAGTACATTGTGACCAATTGAAATTAGAGAAGAAAAGAAAAGAATATGAAGAACAGCAGTGGAGAGAAGAAACTAAGGTAAAGGTGAGAAAAAAAAAAGTGGGAAAAAAAAACAATATTCAGTTCTTGTCCGGAAAGAACGAAGAATTTGATTTGAGGACAAATCCTTTTAAAGAAAGGGGGGATGATATGAATCCAACAACTGATCACTTCCATGTACCCGAACAAGCAATTACAAGAAGCAATACAAAGAAGATTCAAGAATCAAATCAAGAAAATAATTGAGTGGCTGATATTGGAAAGTGATTAGAAGACTTGCCATTGGTAGTTGAACTACCAATTAAGATAATTTATGAATGCCTTATTTTCTTCAATTTATATTTAATAGCATTTATTAATAGATTGTATAAATGTCTTATTTTCTTTAATTTGTATTTAATAGCATTTATTAATGATTTGTGGTTGGTGCCGAACTTTATTATGTTAGGGTTACCTTTTAGACCTATTAAAAGGCATGTAATATTCATGTTTGGGATGAATTGTTGAATACATATAAAACCTTTGTGTTTTCTTGATACCCTTTTGGTGTTATTCTTTTTCAAACCTTGCTTTAGGTTTGATGTTTAAACCGATTCATTGAATTAGTTTTGATCAAGCTAATTCTAGAGTGAATTGTCTTGGTATCTAAGAGTGATCATCATAGATTCCAAGTTCGATCTAAGAGTCATTCATCTTCTAACCCGCTCTTGCTTGGAATCAATCCGTTAAGTTAGCTTTCTCTGTAAACGCTTTGCAAGGATTCTAGAAGGACCTCTAGCTTTGCAAATTCCAACATTGTAGGTGCTTATCATTTGGTATCATTATCAATGAAATATAAACTTCAAGGAAGATGTGAAGAAGATGTTGTTCAAATTATCACAAGATGTTACAATTCATGCCCCATTATTAAAGAAGAATCAAGTCTCATTTATTCTTAAATGGGTAAAAAGTTTGGGTGGATGATAGTTTAGAGTTGTGATATTTCATTCATGTATTTTAAGACTTTTTATGGTTATAAAATATACATAGTGGCTAATTATGGTTATAAAATATACATAGTGGCTAATTATGGTTATAAAATATTAAAGTTAAAACTCTGGGAATTACACGTGAAGGTTATAGATTTTCATTTTGAGGTTATATAAAGCCATGTATGTTATTTTTGTAAAGGAAACTTAGAAAATGTAGTAAAAAGAGCATTTGTGATTTCTTTTAAACTAGAGTTAAGTTTCTTTGCCATTCTATGTAGTTTAAATTATATGTTTAGAATCATTGAAGTTTGACATGATCAATCTTACTCGTGGAGTGATTTGAATCTCAAACAAGTATTCTTATCTTGAGATATTTGATCAATAAGGTAATCTGAATCCTTCTTTTCCTTGTAGTGATTCTTTATGAGTTGGTATCAACTTTTCTTTGGACCGATTCATTATCATTTGAACACAAAGGAAATTTTGTGTTGTCTATTACACGTTATGTGATGATGATTTGACTATGTATGTATTTATTTGAAGTATCATACTTCCATGCATCTAAATTTTATGACCATGATGTCACTTGTATGATTCTCGAGCCACCATGAAGTGAAATATGATATATAGTATGTCGTAAACGCCATGATTATGTATGTTAGACTCACTTAGAAAGGTCATGATTCATCCAATAAAACTATGCTTTTTGGTTGAACCTCATGCATGTTATATGTAGATATTGAGCGTGAATTACTTCTCCTATGTTTGTGCATGCGCATGTCTATAAAAATAAATTTGGATCCTATTTCATTTTGTGGTTGGTTGCACGAGAGTTTGTAGACCTATATGTAGACCTAGGGTTTACGAAAATAAGGGCATTCTACTAATGGGTCCACATGTAGTGTGTGGAACTGTGGATTATGCGTAGAGTAGAACTATACATCCCGACCTACGTAGAAATGAAATTGAACCTAAAACTATAAACATGATTCGATATCCCATAAAAACATGAAGCCATAATCGTATGTATTTCCATTTTCCGACCCTAGTAATAGAGTCACTTACTGAACTTATCGTATTATTATTAAACATTTTTTAGGTAAAACTAAACGACTGGAATTTATAAAGTAGCCATAAAATTGAGGTGAGAGAAAAAAAAAATTAATGAGAGAATTTTCTTTGTTTCTAATTTGAATATAAAAAAACTAAAATCCACTTTTAATAATAATAAATAAATAAATAACATGTTAAAATATATTTAAAGGATAATTTTGTCATTTATTTTTAGAAATCAATTTAATAGACATTTACTTTTATTTACAAATTTCTTAAGCTTGGTTATCTAGTTTCTACCGTATTTTAGAAGAAAATAAGTCATATTTTGAATACTAAAATTAAGTTTTAGAAACTTATTTTTATTTTTTTTAATTTGACTAAAAAAAATTCATTATTAAATGAGAATTAATTTTTTAACATACTATTCTATTATTTAATTGTCTCAATATTTTGTCATAACTATTTATTTTATTTCAATAACACTGAAATCAATAATTCATTATTAATTAAATTGTTGACCAACAAGTTTTTATTTTTAAATTATTATTGCAAATTTTAATTTCAATCACGACTCTCTGTGATATTGTTCAGCATAAGCTCTCATGGCTTTGCATCCCATGAAGACAGTATTCTTTGTTTATAAACCCATAATCATTCCTTAAATGAGTCGACGTGAGACTTTCATTACCTAAGATTCAAATAATTCAGAAAACGAATAAATATATATATATATAGTCTCAAAAAAATTATTTATTTGAGAGAGAATTTGGTGGGGACACTTATTTATGGATTATATAATTATTTATTTATTTAGTTTATATATTTATGGCATGCATAATTCTTTGGACTTAAAAAAGTTGGATTCAAAATTACGTTTGTGTCCCCACTCATTAAATATAATTTTACCTTTATACCCTTTTTATAAAAAAAAAAATAATATTTTTGGATCTGATGAATGTTATGACAACACGAAGAAAGTTGGATATAAATTTTTTGTTTGTGTTCGCTCATTAAATATAATATAAATAATATAATATAATATAATATAAATTTTTTATAACCTAATTTACATATTCAAATAATTCTGTTACTCTAAATTAATATTTTTATTTATTTATTATTATTATTATTATTATTTTTTACAAAACCCCAAGTTCTTCTTCCCCTTCAACAATGGACAATAGTTGACCAATTTCAACCGGCTTCAGATTCATAGCCTCCATCGTTCTTCCCTTCAACCTTCGATCCCCATTTCCATAAATCCGCTTTAACTTTTGAATCCAAGATTCAGCTAAATCAGCTGTGTTCGACCAATCTTCCATCTGTGATTTTCTTATTTTCGAGTTTCTAATCTTCTATTTCAGTCAGGGTATCGTCGATTTGATCCAGAATGGGCGTGTGCTCAAGCAAAGGCAAATACAAACCGCAGTATGATCGTTACGAGCACCAACCAAAAGGCCCAGCTCAACACTCCCATCAGTCGCCGGAGAGTCACCACTCGGCGGCGGCGAAGTCAACCGGTCCTCCCAGAAGCCCCCTACCCACCGTCCTCAGGTCTGATTCGATTCTTGGGAAGCCATTAGAGGATGTTAAGCTGCATTACACCATTGGGAAAGAATTAGGGAGAGGGCAATTTGGGGTTACTTATCTCTGCACTGAGAATTCCTCTGGTAAGCAATATGCTTGCAAATCCATTTCCAAAAGGAAGCTTGTGACTAGAAATGATAAGGATGATATTAGAAGAGAGATTCACATTATGCAGCATTTGAGTGGGCAACCTAACATAGTTGAGTTCAAGGGAGCTTATGAAGACAAGCAATCGGTTCATTTGATCATGGAGCTTTGCGCTGGCGGCGAGCTTTTTGATAGAATTATTGCAAAGGGTCATTATAGTGAGAAAGCAGCTGCCTCAATCTGCAGGTCTATTGTTAATGTGGTTCATATCTGCCATTTCATGGGGGTGATGCATAGGGATCTCAAGCCTGAGAACTTTCTGCTTGCTAGCAAGGAGGAAGATGCTATGCTCAAAGCAACAGATTTTGGATTGTCTGTTTTTATTGAAGAGGGTGAGGTTCTTGCTCTGTTCATTGGATTTTTTCTTCATGCCTTTTTGATTGAATGTTTCTTTGTGCTTGCTTTAGTTGAATTTTCTGTTCTTGTTGATAATTTTATGGTAATTTGTGTGGGAATTTGTGTGTGGCTTACAAGTTTTAGATGGTAGAATTAGATATATATTTCAATCCTACAATTGCTATTGGTGATCATCTGTTGTAGTGTTGGCAAATGTTCAATATCTTGGGGCAAATTTTAGTTTTGATCTTCCAATTTAATCAAACTGAACCAGGACTTGAATCAATGGTGCATAGTTTTAGCTGAATTTGGACATTTTATTGCTAAGTTTAGGCAATTCATGTTTTATTTTGTAGCTAGATGTGGGTTTGGAGATTTCTTGCTTGATTTTGATTAGTTTTTTGGTTGAATTTTCTTTGAGTTATTGATTGGTTTGTTTGTGCTTTTCTAATCTACTCTGAGAAGCTGTTCATTTCACAGCATATTCAAGTTTAGGACTCAAATTGTTGAAATTGAAATTTTAGGGTTAACATTGACTCACGGATTAAGTGTGAGATCCCACATCGGTTGGGGAGGAGAACGAAACACCCTTTACAAGGGTGTGGAAACCTTTCCCTAGTAGACGCGTTTTAAAAACCTTGAAGGGTAACTCGAAAGGGAAAGCTCAAAGAGGATAATATCTGCTAGCGGTGGGCCTGGGACGTTAAGTAAGTATAGGGATGCAAATCAATTTTATTTTATCTCAAATAATTTCACCCAACTACTCCATGTATTCATCCTGATGCTGATTCAAATGTTTGAAAAGTTATAAGTCCGTTAGTGGTATTCATGTACTTATCCAACAATGACAGATCAGAGTTAGTCAACCTCAATATAAAAACAAAATATTGCTAGAGATCAACTTGTGATTATTGAAGTCACATGGGTATAGGAACTATTATTCTTGGTCAATGTTCATCATTATGGATTCATAACCTCAACCTGACCGAATGGGCTTATCATCTTTGCGTATTATTCATTCCAACAGTTGTTAATGCCTTCATCCTGGCCGAATGGGCAATCGATGTCGAATTATCTTAGTCTCTTCAGTTTTTTTTTTATCAATTTCCTTTCTTGTTATATGAGATTATTTCATGAGGTGGATGGCTTCAAACATGATTAACTTTGGTTGCACAACTTTCTAATGTGTTTTCTTAATTTTATAAGAATGAAGCCCGACATTTTAAGCTTTGACGTTTTGTAGGATGCATGATACACTATTTGAGAGTCAAGTCGATAGGTTCTCTGCTTGTCTCAATAGTTCTTGCTTTAATATCTATCCATTTGCTCCTGTGAACTGGTTATAGTGTGAAGAGAAGTAGTAATGGGATCATATACTAAACATTAATCTGCCTGATACTTCAAATATCTAACAATATAAAGTTAACTATCACTTTAACAAGACAATTCAGAGCTAAGAGTCACTTAAATAAGACTTAAATCCTCCAATGATACGAAATAAGGTGTCTTAATTGATTTAAACACCTTATTTCGTATCACCCAAGCACACAATTGATAAATTTTGTTCACTTCTAAGATACATCCTATGATGATTATAGGCTATAATAGATAGTTGTAAAACTCCTTTCCTTAAAAACGTGGCGGAGGCTGGAACCATGGCTCAAGATTTCCTAGTTCGAGTTTCCCAACTGACTTGATAACTCGGGTGATAGCAACTGCTTCACAATCACTAGCCTGAGTGTTAAATGAACTCATGCTTTGCTGAAGGGTTTAGGAGATTTTGATGAAACTATATGTGTTTCCCCTGAAGAATTGGTATTTAACTTATTTCAGGAAAGGTGTACAGAGACATAGTGGGGAGTGCTTATTATGTTGCCCCTGAAGTACTACGTCGTAAATATGGGAAAGAAATCGATATTTGGAGTGCTGGAGTTATGTTGTACATATTACTCAGTGGTGTACCTCCATTTTGGGCAGGTAAAAAGCGAATTACTTTCTTTTTCGCTTTCGCTTTGCTATGTTCTTTCTATCGAACATCCTGTCGATTTTCTTTTTCGAAAAAATGCCTGGCCAGTATGGTGAATAACATGATCTTTATTGCAGAAACTGAGAAGGGCATATTTGATGCAATATTGCAAGGACATATCGACTTTGAAACTGATCCATGGCCAAAAATTTCGAACAGTGCCAAGGACCTGGTGAAGAAAATGTTAACTCAGGATCCAGCACAACGGATTACGTCGGCACAGGTTCTCGGTATGTAATTTTGTCTATGAATGCTTTCTTGAATCCTTACTTAAAAAAAATTGGCAAACAATTGGTATGTGAATCTGTAGCATTTAACTCGGGGTATGCCGTTTTGTATCTTATTTAGACCATCCATGGATGAGAGAAGGTGGAGATGCATCGGATAAGCCAATCGACAGTGCAGTATTTACAAGACTCAAGCAATTTAGAGCAATGAACAAACTGAAGAAGCTTGCCCTGAAGGTGATCATCCTTATATTTCAGAAGAAGTTATACTTGATTGAATTAACAGGTAGTTTATGAAACAATTGCAGGTTATAGCTGAAAATCTTTCTGAGGAAGAGATCCAAGGCCTGAAAACAACGTTCACGAACTTGGACACGGACAACAGCGGAACCATCACTTATGCAGAATTGAAGTCTGGACTGGCCCGGCTTGGCTCAACGCTAAGTGAGGCTGAGGTCAAACAACTTATGGAAGCGGTAATATATGATTTAACATCATCGACCACTCGAAGTTCCTTATTTCTTTTTCCTGACATGAACTGAAAGAACCTCGATCGCTGTTTCAGGCTGATGTGGATGGAAATGGTTCGATCGATTACATCGAATTCATCACTGCTACGATGCATCGATACAAGCTAGAAAAAGAAGAGCATCTTTACAAGGCGTTTCAGCATTTTGACAAGGATAACAGTGGGTCAGTCTCTCATCTTTAGCATTTTCATCTGCTTTTTGAAACAACTTAATTCAGTGTTTTTGAGAATTTGGTTATTGTTCTATCAGTTATATCACAAGAGATGAACTGAAAGCTGCAATGAAAGATTACGGAATGGGCGACGAAGAGACTATTAGAGAGATTATTTCCGAAGTCGATGCAGACAACGTAAGTTCATCCATATTTAGAATCTGAAACTCGAGCTAATCTTTTCTGGTAAAATGCAACTAATTTGTGTTCGGGTTTCGTAGGATGGAAGAATCAACTACGATGAGTTCTGTACAATGATGAGAACTGGAACCCAACAAGGCAAACTCTTTTAACATGTCGAAGGATACCGAAGATCGTCGAAGGGATCGTCTAAAGCTTGGCCATCAGCAGCAAAATGTCTGAGACAACAGCTAAAACATTGGTTTCGGGTTTTAATGTGATATTTTTGCATAGCAATTGAATTGTTGTTTATATCTTTGTGTAAAATTTGTTGGCCTGTGTAAGCCATGCTGGATTAATTTGTATTTGCCTAAATGTACTTGTTTACTTGAGTATTAATTGTCCACTTGATATTTGCTTATGTTTTATTTCATGGATGGGATTTATGAAGGAGAAGGCTTGCTCGTCTCCATCCTTCTTGCCACCTGAGGTTTTGACTTCACAGCAACATCCATAACATAATCTAATCGTCTCCTGGTATAACTTATAACATAGCATAACTTATATTATAGTATAAACATAACATAATACACATCAAACAATCGTAAAACACGGCATGTGTAGGGGCCACAGGGCACATGTCATTCATCCTTCAAATAATTCATCCAACCAATCAATAGCGAAGACACCTATATCTAGTTGGCCTAAGTTGAAGTCACCACACTCTCTTGACATAGCTTCACCTTAAAACCTAATTCTATCTGAGGAGTCTTTCCATCCTAAATTAAAATTCTAGTATGAAAATAAGCTCATAATTTGCATTGAATAATCCTAAAAGTACCTATATTAATCTTAAACACCTTTGAAAGTGTCAAAAACATCTCCCTAAGAGTCAAAATAGTAGAAAAGGGTTTGAGCATATCAGATTCAAGTCCGATTAGCCGATGAGCCAAACCACCCAAGTGGGATAAAACCGTGCAATTATTATGATTCAGTGAGCCAAAAAAACTTCCAAAAAGTCCAAATTTACACTCTTTTTTTTCATAGTGATCGTAGTTCAATGTTTGTTAGGTAATGTATTCTCCATTCTCTAGGGAAAGAAATGTGGAATCACATTTGTCTCTACAAGGAAATGAAATAATCTTTTGGGAATAGTCATATTTAAATATCTCAATACATTAAACAAGTGAATCTCATAAAAATTTTAAATATATTTTTATTATTTTGACTTAATTATCATATTTGGCAAGTTCGCGCCACACGAGTAAGTACAGAAACCTCTACAAAGATGACATCAAGTGTTTTCAAGGAAATAGGGAGACATGTTTGATTGGAGTCATATGATTATATCGTCCCAAAACCATCACCATTCAATGTCACAAGATATGAGTTGGAAGATGAAATGCTAAAAATGTCGACTAGCTGACCTACTAGAATAGGAACATCCTCACGAGTGAGCAAGAGAAAAAGAACTTTCTTTCACACAAAAATGATCGACGTTGTAGGGAGAACCATGAGTAATGCAAACAACCAATTTAGGTGTCCCATCAAATTTCAATTATTAAAAATTGAAAGGTTACAAATACAATACACGTGAAAAACTCGATTAAAAAATTGTGTTACAAAACATAACAAAAAACACAACAAATGACGTCTACTCTAGAGTTTAATCTAATAGGTTCACAATTGTCAATCGTTACATAAAAGAAAAATTAACATTGGTGAATATATAATATATTCAATTAGTAGTTCACTTTAACCTAAAAATTCTTTTTATGTAACATCAGCTTACAAATCTGAGGTTTAATTATAAAGTCTTAAATAAGGTTTAACCTAAACTTTTAATCATAGGTCGTATACCACAGGTAAGCTTCACTTTGCTTATTTGAACCAAACGAAAATCGAAAGTCTTATGACTATGCTCCCTTACTTATGAGCGTTCTTAATACCTTTGATATTTTAATAATCCCTCATTTGTCTCTTAGGATGTTCGGGACTTTGGATTAATAGCTAGCCCTATAATAACTCCTACAGCCACTCAAATCACGTAATCTCATCATTTACAAGAGAACCATAAAGGGTCAAAGGTAAGCTTTTAATCTTAATGGTACTTTAATTAGTAACTCAATCACGTAATCTCAACCCAATCACGTAATCTCATGTTAGGTAGAGTTACCAAATTCCGTGTTCTCTAGTTGTTCAATTTTTCATACAAGTTTGGAGTTCTTTTGACTTAATTTTATGATGAAATTATTACTATTCATTTTGCTCTCATCGTTCAACTTTCTAGAACCTACTTGTAGATCCTTATGTCACCACTTACTCTCATGACTTGCTTGTGTGTAACTGTTGTATAAGTAGTCTTAGGTTTTCCAACCTGAGCATTTAAGTTATACAATATGACACAAGAGGAGGAGACACCGTGTTTGTGATTCTATGTGGTCCCTTGTTCTACTCTGACAGGAATAGTTGGAGACCCCCTAATCACAGTCACATAGTGTCTGCATTGTATGGTTAGATACATATATGTCTACAGAAGTTGGAAGCACAAATGGAGAGTCTATCACTTGTGATAAGTCTCTCAATAAGGATTAACTAAAAACCTTTCCATTGTGCCACAATCATACAATCATATGATACACGGGGACATATCTAAAATAAAATATTTCTTTTATCATGATACATGTGATACAATCATATGATACACGGGGAAAGTCTACTTAGCTACTCAAACTCCATTACATCCTCAATGAGTTTTTGTAATATGATATTGATCATAAGTAACCTATATCATACATATATATATATAACTTGTGAATATATAATACTTAAATGGGTTGAACTTCTTGGTAATATTTTAACCCTATTTTAATCCAAATAGCTTTAAATTTTTTAAATAATAAAAATTAAGAATGATATTGAAATCAAATTGTAAAATAGATAAATGGAGGTTGAACCAGATAAAAAAAAAAAAAAACATGTCCACGTGTTCAAATGCCCCACATGCAGCCAAGAGCATGCCCATGTGCAGGTACACGTGCACGTATCAGATTCCTCCCATGCGTGTTTGTTTGTTTAGAACTTCATCTCCTGTGTTTGAGTGGTGCGTGTCACAGACATGTTGCCTATGACCTGTGTTTGAGTGGTGCGTGTCACAGACATGTTGCCTATGACCCCACATGTCGGATGTCTCGATCATGTTTGTCTAAGATATGTTATCTATGGCCGCATGCCGTTTCAAACCTCTTATACCTGCTTTCATCTTAGGTAGTCCTTTACTATTTCATGTTGTGTCAATACAGAGGTGTATAACCGGTCACCAAAATCATGTCTATACCCGCCAGTGCTAAAGTGCGCCAAAATCCGCCCGGGAAAAATGGGTCAAAATATACCATAGGAGATCTATCTAGTTGTCAATTTTTCCTACCCAGATTACATGTTTATTCGCTTTTGACTTGTAACATTGCTTTCTTTACACTTATTTTTAACTTTCAATCACATTTTCCAAAATATTTTTCTCAAACATGACCCATGACTCAAGCATACGCCATACTATCTACGTCCGAATTTCACCCGACTAAATTAGAACAAGAGTGCGATAGTAACTTGTAAAATAGGTGTGACCTCCTTTTTCTTTCTCCTCGTTTAAATCTTATTCTTCTTTTATAGTCCAAGATTCATTTTGAATTGTTCACCAATGGAAGAAGTTTTAAGTACCATTCCAATTTAAAAAGAAGATGCAAAAATACAGTTCGTGTTGCATTTATCACATTCATACATTCATGTTCTGAAAGCCTACATGAAATTTGTGGATCAAATTCTGTAAGAGTAATTATCAAAAATCAAAATCCTTGAAGAGCCTCAGCTCCAGCAACAATTTCCAGAATTTCCCCAGTAATCTTAGCCTGTCTCTCTCGATTATAAGCAACCAAAACAGAGTTCTTCAACTCCAGAGCATTCTCAGAAGCATTACTCATGGCGTTCATCCTCGCTGCCACCTCACTCGCCATGGATTCCTGCAAAGCCCTCAAAATCTGGCTGTTCAAATACAGAGCTATCATCCCATCCAAGATCTGAACTGGGTCTTGTTCGAACTCCAACAATGCCGGAATTTCCTCCAAATTCCCCCTTTTCCCCTCTCTCTCCACCTTCAATTTCCCCTCCTTCGTTGTCAATCTAAACCCCCCATCTCCCATGCCTTCCCCATCGCCCAACAATGGCAGCAATGTCTCAATCACAGGCTCAGATTTCAGCGACGAAACGAATTTTGTGTAAATTAGTTCCACTTTGTCCACTTCTTCGCTGATGAACAGAGAAAACACAATGTCTGCAATGGTTTGTGCTTCTTTTGCTGTCGGTACTGAACCGCCGCCGCAGCCGGTTATGTATTTATCGACTTGAACGTCGGACCGGCGGCGGAAATGCGAGTTACCCTTTTTTCCAACGCTGATTAGGATGTGACCCAGATCGAGATTTTTCAATTCGGCCAATCGGGTGTCGGCTGTTTTTATCACGGAAGCGTTGAAACCCCCACAGAGTCCCCGGTCGCCGGTGAAGACGACGAGGGCGACTTTTCCGACGGGTGCAGGGTTTAGAAAGGGGAAATCGATTTCATGTGGTTGGATTTGTTGGGTGATGAAATGGAGAAATTGGGCGAGGGATTGGGCAAAGGGGCGACTGTTGATTACGGCTTCTTGGGCTCGGCGGACTTTGGCGGCGGAGACGAGCTTCATGGCTTCAGTGAGCTTCTGGGTGTTGTTGATGGAGTCTAATCGAGATTGGAGGTCGCGGGCGCCGCCGCCGCGGCATCGGATTGAAATGGACGGTGGAGATTTGGGGATACGGCGGAGAAGGGGGGGAAATGGGGTTTGGTGGAATCTTGGTTCGAGAAAGTGGGTCATAGTGGGAGGATATTTTTGAAGGGTTCTGTTTTTATGTTTGATGATCGGATCGGCGATCAAAACAGAGCCGCTTGATGTTGACGAACACAGAACTTCAGGGGCCTGTTTTGAGGCTGTGAGAGGAGAAGTATTAACTCTAGGGTTCACAAACAAGGGCCTCAGTAATTATTATTATTATTATTATTATTATTTGAAATTACTTGAAATTAAAAGCAAACTTGACTACCGGGACACAAATAAAAAAAATAATGATGAACTCGACTACGATTATAAGCCTTCCATTTAATTCGAATATAAGCTCTTATTGGCTTTGCTTTGGGCTTCCCCAAAAGGCCTCATACATTAGAGTTAGTATTCCTCACTTATAAACCTATGATCATTTCCTAAATTAGTCGATGTGGGACTTCCTATCATCCAACAATGTAATCGGTATGTTTGAATTATGCGTTTTAAGTTTGAATTAAATGGAACCTTTTAGTGTTACTACGAGCTAGAAAAGAGACCTTATGAACCTACCGAT